CCAGGAATCTGAAAGAGATCTTCACCAGGGACAAAATATATACCCCAAAGAGATGCCCCAATGATTCACTTCCTCCAGCCATACTCTACCTGTTTACAGTTAGTCAGTATCAGGGGGTTAATGCCCTGATTACGTTAAGACTCTCAGAGCCCAAGGATTTCACATCTAAACTTTCTTGCATTCTCTTTCATACATGCACTTTTGGGGGACACCTCACATATAAACCACAACACTAATATAAAAGTTTAACTATCTATACCACATCAACAGGATGGTAATTAATAGAACCTAGAACTCAGACTAAGACACTTTTTTTTCTGCTTCCTGAGGAATTTCTTAACCCCTTGAAAAGAGAGGAGAATAGATGGAGCCACTAATAAGGTTTTCTCAAATTTATCAGCTTTTGATACAAATTCCCTATATTCCAGCAAATATATATATTTTCTTTCTTCATAGAGATCATTATAAAATCTTTTTATATTTTTACATTTGTTCATATTTGTCAGGAAGTGAAACCTAAAATACCATAATCACCCCAAATCAGGATAGTTTAAATCTCATTTCCTTGAAAATGTGGAAAGAAGTTCTCTTGATTTTTATCTCAATTTAGTTCGTCAGCAACTAACAACACTAATTTTATACCCTTTTTTTTCTCTCTCAGAAAATTTTCAAAGAAAATATCCTAAGTGGAGCTGTTTCTATGTGTCCAAGCAATGAAACCATGATTGATTTCTGCCTTGTCTCTTTCCTGGCTACTTTTAATCAATTTTTGATCTTCAGGGCTCTTGTATCATATGTCTCAACACCAATTATATGTCTTGGCCAATCCATTACTCTCAAGCCTTTGGTAAGTGCTTCTTGTCTGATAAATAGCTCACTATTCCTCCAGCTGATATTCACAAGGGATCTTATTCAGTGGGCATATCACCTGGCTTTCTGTGTTTCATGCCCAATTTGCATAAACTAAAGAAAATGTTCCTCCAGCTATCACTGATCAGTTGGAAGAGAGATATATCAAATAACTATAGCCATCCTAGAGGAAAAAACAGGTATAAATCAGTTAAAATGTTTATCTGGAAGCTGACAGTTTATCACCTAAGTGATGATCCCTTTACATTTTTACTTTGCACTGAGATGCATAAAACAATTCGAGATGACACAGTGGAAAAAACTGATGCTTTTGTACAGTAGACTCTAACCTTGCTGAGATTGTGATTCAGATATATCTTGCATCTGAGATTAGCACACATAAACCCCAAAAGTTAGGCCTAAGTTATTCATAAAAGTATAATTTATTCAAGTGGCAAAGCTGCTGAGATTGTCTTACTTAAAAAGAAATTTATGAAAACTCTCTCCTTTAATTCTAACAGTTCATCATAAGGCCTGGTTCCGTTGATAAGACCTCTTCTTCATAATTTCTACCTTCCATGAACATATCTTAGGTTTTCATGAGAATGCTCACTTAAAATTTGTTTTGGTTTGGAAACCAATGTCAAAGTAAGCAAGTATTTATTTTTTAATTCATTCTTTATTTGATTATTTAAGAAGGCAATTGAATGCTTATTTTGATTAATAAAGACCACTGCTAAAACACCCAAATGTTGACTTACATCATCTTCTAATGCAGTATGTTGCTCACCCACTCTTCTGTCCATCATTCACATAGAAGTCAGACTAATTTCCTTTCAAACACATAAGCAGATCAAATCAGTATTATCTTGTGATACTTTCCACTGAGTCAATTTCTTTCCTTCCTGCTGGCCCTCTCCTGTTCAGGAACTACAAGGTTTGTCTGGCCTGTCCCTGTGCCTTTATATTTCTTTGTGCCTGATAACTATTCCCTTAGACTGGCCTTTCTTTCTCACGATTATCCAGCCTACACAATCTAAGAAACTAATCAATCAACACTCACAGGGAAATCCTTATAGCACTACAGTGAGTAACCATTTTCTCTATTTCTTCTATCTACCTACCTACCTACCTACCTACCTACCTACCTATCATCACCTATTGTTTAGGAGAAGAAAAATTCTCAAAAGCATTAATGTCTTCCTGTCCTCATGAACACTTTTTTTCTGCATGACTAAGTTACTTGTGTGGTCTCCTTTCTCTCTCCTCTTGCCTTTCCCCTAATGGTTGTTCTCTGTTCTCCATAATCCTCCACTGAAAACAGAGAAAACAAAGACAACATTTTCAATTTCTTAAGCAGAACTATTCAGTGCAGTTCTCTACAGCAGCCACCACTAACTTAATTCAAGGCCTTCTTTTTTATTCCAAAAGATTTAATTTAAAGTTTGAAATTACAGTTTATGACTTCACAGAATGCAGATTTCTTCCCAGTCTCTGCTTGTGGGAGGGAGAGCTTCACACTTCCAGTTTTGCTAACAAGGTTGACACATTTCTATTACAGGATTAGCCCTGTATTTCTAATCATTTTTACTGATTGGATATGCAATCTGTACTGGATTTGGGGAGTTTTCAAATTACATCCTGGTTCTTATTGCAAGTAAAGTAGCATTGCATAAAATCAGCTTAGAAACACGGATTGTCTCAACTGCCCAATTCTGACCATAAAGTGTTTTAGGGCATCCGATATTTAAACATCACAACAATTCCTTTAAGAGTGAAATAGAGGGACTGGGGTTGTGGCTCAGTGATAGAGTTCTTGCCTAGCATTTGTGAGGCACTGGGTTTGACTCTCAGTACCACATAAAAAAAAATAAATAAATGAAATAAAGGTATTGTGTCCATCTACAACTAAAGAATTAAAAAATTAAAAAAGTGTGAAGAAGTGTGTCATTCCTACTTATAAATGGTTTGAGGAGATCAAGGAAGTTGAAAATTTCAGCCTCCGAGTTGAAAATTGCAGCAAAATGCACAAGGTCACTGGGATGAGCCCTGCTGGGGCTCAAGCCATCAAGGATGAGCTGGAGAAGCTGTGCTGATATGGTGCAGACCCTCCCACAAGGGCCCCCATTATTTCCTCTTGCTTGGGATTGCTGGTATAAAAATACTGATTTCCAAATAGGTAAACACTAATCATATGGAACTGACACTCACCATGATTCCCACACCTCCATCCCTGTACGCAATGCACCTAGAGCCACATTTACATGTTCTGTGATTTGGTTCTTAACAAATTGAAAAGATAAGTATATTCAAGTTGTTTTGTTTTCCTGCAAATGACAACTTGGAAAATTCCCAACTGCGTGAGGATTGGAAAAGTTAGGACTTCACGTGGGAAGTTTCAGTTGTCATTAGTAGAATCAGTATTTATGCACTTTCTAACTCCAGCTGGAGGTAGCTCTGTGGCTATGTTTTCACCAAGCAGCCAGCGATCGTGACCACGTTAGATGGTCTTTGCCTGACCCAGCTTGCCTAAGGGTTTAAATAAGGCATTCATTTGTGTGGTTTAGTCACAAAGTCTCTATCTACAGCTCTGACCTCTGATTACATTTAGGTTTGCTCTCATAGCCATAGAGGATTCTCACGTTTCTGACTAATCAGGAAACATCGGATTGATTAAATGTTAAAATGAGTAGTCAAGGAGCATCTTTGCTCCAAATTATCTTAAGTGTCTCCACCCAATAGAGCATCATAGCCCTCTGATCAGTGGCCTTCCTTAACGAGCTCACTCTTAGCATGTTCATGTCTCCCTGTAGAGACCCACTTGCTTCTAATCAAGAAGTATTGATCTTCCACAAAGATCTGTTTGTCAAACTGACATGTACAGCATTCAGACACCAAAAATAATTTCTACCATTTTGCTATACCATCTTAATTGAATGTCAAGTTCCAGGAATGCCATTTTTCAGCAGTAACAAAAGGCCCCACAATAACAGTTGGTGAACATTTCTCCCTGTTAATTCTTCCTGTTTCCTGGACATTGTTCATGCCATCTGCTTCTGACTCGTTTATTTTATTGTTTAATTGCAAACCTTGGTCAAGCTAACATAGTTACCAGTTCATGGAGAGTTCAGAGAAGTCAGTAACAACATTAAAAAAACAAAATCTTATATTGGTGCATGCAGAACCATGGCGTGTATCTAGATGACTTGAAAATATCTGCCTAAGAACAGCTTTAAGTTCTGAAGAAATATCATAAGTTCTCTATCACGTAGAGCTCTGTAATATAAATCAGTAATCATGTAATTAGATCTCTCTGGGATAATATAATTTGAATCGACACAGTGGAGAGATACTTCATTTCTTATATATTTCTGTGCCAAGGCCATGAAGCAAATTCTGATTTCTTCCTCCAATTTTTTGCAATGCAGGACCTACGACAGTTTTTCACTTGGGAAATTTGCTTTAAAAATATCTTTTTTAAATTATACACACATTCTCTCTCTCTCTCTCTCTCTCTCTCTCACACACACACACACACACACACACACACACACACACACAAATGCAAACATAATGACATACGAAGATAATTAGAGTGTAGGTTTGGAAGGCGTAGACTCTCCCAGGAAAATTTCTGTTCAAGAGTGAATTTAAAAAAAAGAAATTTTATATGCTTTGAAGGGAGATTGGGATACACAGATAAAAAATTTAAAGATAGAAGAATTATGATTGATAAAGTAGATAGATTCATAAATGTCTGTTGTGTCTCCAAGAAACATTGCACAGTTGTCTGGATAGGGAAGTTACTCCTTTATTATGTTCTTTTCCTCCTATAGTGTTCTACTTTTCCAAGCCAAGAACACTTAGAAGATCATATCTGATTTATACTATTCATTCCTGATATTTTCAAATAGCAATTAAGAAAGTGGTAATATCATCATACTTGATCCTCTGATTTTCCTGCATTTTGCTTACTCCAAATTGAATATTACTTCCATTTGTTTTATTTCAGATATCCCAGATCATAAAACTTCAATTAAGACATGTTTTATGAATTCTATAATAGATTAAGTCATAGGTCAAGTTTTACATTAGTATGATTAATCAGTGCAATCATATTTAAGAAGTTGCTGAGAAAATAAAGAGCTTACCTGAGTACTAGGCAGAGAAACCATCAGTCACTTAGATCTAATTGGGATTCTTCAATAATTTCTGGCAACATCATGGTGTGTCTCTTTGCTTTCATTCCAAGAAGAGAGCATGCAACAAGAACACAAAGAAAGTTCTTCAAGGTTACCCTGGAGAGAAAGAGAATGAAAACATGTTAGAGCTTCTTAAGTTTATAATTGTCAAATAACTAATTTTAGGAAGAAAATATTATAGCACAATAACCAAAGTTACCCGAAGTGGTAGCGTAAACTTATCCTTGGGGAAAACTTATGCCTGAAATTTAATTAAATGCACACTTGATAATGACCTTCATCTTACTAAGGGATGTAAGAATGGTTCGCTTGGATAGTCACTGCAGAGAGACTGTAACTCCTTCCCAGTGCCTTTCCCAAGGTAGCCCTTACATCATCCCTCAAAGCTGGACGTGGGGACATGGAGTCATGGATGAAAGGCTTTCAAAGTTACACTTATCACTCCCTGCTCAAGCTTAGATCATTGGATTTCTGAAAAAATAATGGATTGATATTTAAAATAAACTGTTATTTTTAAGTTTTGAAGCAGTTTTATCTTTCAGGAAGTTTATATTACCTTCAGACGATATTTTATTTTCCCATTTTCCTATCTTATCACATTAGCTATGATTTAGAACCCCTTTAAGAAAGTTAACTTAATGAAAAGACTTTTTACTTTTATATTGAGACTTTTACTGGCACTAAGAATGGCATATTATGGAGACCTGAAGCTGTATGTAAAATGATTAAATCAAAAGCTGTTTGATAGCTTAAATGATATCTCATGACACTTTGCATCAGAATAACAAGGAAGGTAACAGAAGGGAGGGTACACATCTCTCAGTTTTTCCACATTTTTACACTTGTGATGGTAGAAAACAATCACAAACAAATCTCTAGGTTCAAGCCTGTGACCATAAAATTAGCAATATTTTTAACAGAAACTTATGCCATCATAAATTTTACCTTTTTATTTCATTTTGGTACTGGGAATTGATCCAAGAGACAGTTTACTACTGAGCCCCAACCCTTTCTATTTTTTATTATGAGACAGGGTCTCCCTAAGTTGTTTAGGGCCTCACTAAGTTGCTGAGTCTGGCCTCAAACTTGTGATCCTCTTTCCTCAGCTTCCCAAGTTGTCAGAATTACCTGGCCTGTTACAGATTTTAAACTAAAAAAAAAAAGGTGAAAGAAGTAATTATATGTCTCAATTTATGTGTACTTTCAAGATAGAACCTTAAAGAGAAATAATCAGATATTATCATTGTCTGTTGTTTTCCCACTATGTATCTGAGTACATATAAAATTGTCTATAACTTATCATTTCTATGGTGTTTATCCAATTAACTAAGTACCTTTATACTTATTGTCTTATTAACTGTGATAGATAATAATAGAAATACTTTTTCTACTTACAAAGTACTTTTATTTATTATTTCAACTAACAGAACTTCAATGACTTAACTACCCCTTGTTAACTACAGTCTAGCTCAACAAAAGTTATCACCAAGAAGAATATGGCAGCACACACCTGTTCAGAGACAAGAAACACAAACAAACCACCCATATCAGCAGACCTCTGGCCACCTTTGGGCAACTCAACTAGTTTGGTTGAGGCTGCTGGAATAGTAAATTGATTTTAAATGACATGCACACCAAACCCATTCAGTAGGTTCTCCTTTCCTATAGCAAATACTGGCCATTTCATTAATATTTAAAAACAACAGCTGTTAATGCCTTAGAATGAGATAGCTAATTTACATATTATGGGTCTGGCAAGGGTTCTCTAGCATATTCTCTCAAACCCATGGAGGATTATGCTTTCTCCAAGGCAGATAAAGGGCAGAAAGGCATCTACAGCTCAAACACGAATATTAATAAAGTTGTAAAGAAGTCTATAATTGAACTATATCAATTATTTATCTAATTATGAGATTCTTAGTCATCTAAAATTACTCACTAAGCAACTCAAGAGTCTATGGGGTACTAACATACATAATGTGGTCCAAAATCATCAGGCCTGCAAAACTCCATCTGACAAGGCTGCTTCAACATTGATTAGGGATGAGTTGAAAAATGGAGATGGGGTAAAATATTGCATGAAGAAAAGCCACATCTTTGAAGGCTGGAAGTAAGAGAAAGCCCAGTTGTTTTGGCTAAATGATTCCTTATCTTCTGAGGTCATTTTATTTGGGGAAATCATAACAATTCCATGGAGATAATCATCTCCCTGGGCCTGGAGCTATTATATGGAAGCAGTTTTCAAGTTCAATAATTCAACATTGAAGTAGGATTCTCCACTCATGGCAAGGCTGAGTAGTTGTAGTAATATCCCTATGTAGGCAATAAAGTTTTTATTTATGGTGATAGATAGAATAATTGTCCCCCAAGACACCTATATCCTGATGCCTGGAATCTGTGAATATGTTGCCCTACATGACAAAAAGTACATTGCAAATGTGATTGGTTAAGGATATTGAAATGGGAACATTATCTTGTTTCATTCGGGTGAGTGCAACATAATCACAAGGATCCTTATAACATGGAGGCAGTCGGGTTAGTTAGAGAAGTTGTAACAACAGAGGGAGAGGGCAGTGAGAGATTTGGGTTGGAGGACAAGACAGATTGACTTACAGATGATATGATATTGTCTTTGAAGATGGAAGGAGGAACTGCCAGTTAAGGAGCAAAGGAAGCTTCTAGAAGCTTGAACAGGGAAGTCTTATAAGAGTTACCTGTTCTCACTGGGAGTCTCACTGGGAGCCTCCAACAAAAATGCAGCCCTTCTGACCCACTTTAGATTTTTTATTTCAAGAATGGTAACTTAAGGTACTTGTGTTGTTTTAAGCCACTAAATTAATGGTAATTATTACAATAGCATTCTGAAACAAATACGTTTATCACCTCCCCACAGGAAAAAGAATCCATTAATACGTTTTCACATCTCTGTTTCGTGACACTGGAGCTGAACTCATAAAATAGCACAACAGTTGTAATATTTTCTGTTCATATTTATGATAAAGGCATTTATTTAAAGAAATCAAGCCCCCAAAAACTTTTATTTTTAAATATTTGTTTACTTAGGTTGTGGAGGTTGAACCTAGAGGGTTTTACCCCTGAGTCATATCGCCAGCTCTTTTCATTTTGCTTAGGTCCTTGCTAAGTTGCTGAGGCTGGTATTTAACTTGTGATCCTTCTGCTGCCGCCTCCTGAGCTGCTGGGGTTACAGGCATGTACCACCATACTCAGCTCTAATAAGAGTTTTAAAACTACCTTCGTGAAAACATGAAGATTTTACCTGAATGTACAAGAGGAATTAGACAATCAGGTACCCTCCTGAATATACAGGAATATAAAACAAAACACAAAATAAAACCACTGTTATATAAGGGTTCCACCCATATAAATGATAAGGAAGTCTTATAAGACTTATTACACTTTATGACAAAGAAGTTTATGCTAATCAATATAGAAACGAACTCACCTGAGTGGACCGAGTTCCAGAATGGCTGGGGCTGGAGGCATGAAGGGAATTGGAAATGATCTGTTGAAATGTGGTCTTGCATCTTTTTTACAAAGTGCTTTCATTGAATGGTCTTTTGTACTTCATCCTGGCTAGTACTCAAATGTACATTGGGTCTCTAAGCAATATTGCATACTTGTTTTGATGTGGAAATTACTCCTTTACTGCTATCTTTTCCTCCTATATTGTTCCACTTTTTCAAACCAAGAGTACCTTGAGGAGCATATCTATATGTGTAGTACTCATTCTTGAGTATTTCAAAGAGCAATTAGGAAAGTGATGTGTCCATCATGCTTCTGGCTGAGGACTTAGCCCCAGCTCATCCTTGTTCCTAACAACATCCTAGGTGAAGTAGAGTCATCATGGTAGATGCTTAATGAGGGCACTTACAGAACTTAAAGAGATGAATCATTTCCACATTTAAGGACAAGCATAATTTTCTCTCTCTGATTTCTCCAGAATTTTTGCTTTGAAAGAAATAAAAATAACTCCAGTCTCTTCATACTAGAGTACGGAAATTCCTATATCCTTCCTGACATTTCAGAAGATACTTGGGGTGAGGTAAACTCCCTTTCCTTGGTCAACCCTTATTCCACAAGCCCTTTGAATGACCATTTCAACTTCAGACATAAACTTTCCCCCTTCCTTCTCTAAAGCTCCATTAATGCAAACCCATTGTAATGTACCACTTCTGAAGAGGTGAGTGTGACTAAAGATTTCAAATGCACAGGGGAAAAAAAGTGAAAAATTTTAAACCAAATGTTAGGCATAATTATATTTAATTTCCTAGTGTGTCTAGACAGAAGAATTTTTTTCTATTGGTCAACTATCCATGAATCCATAATGCCATCAGTGGATCTTGTCCTCCCAAGACCATCTCCACAAACCCCAACCCAGAATCCTTATTTCCCTTGATCTAATTTCTGTTATTTTGCAATACAGGGCTACTCTGCCCTCCTTGTTATGATCTCTACCACCAAGAGAGACTGAATCACCTAGAAAAATGCCCATTAGGGTGCTTTTCAAACAAAGACTAATGCACGCCTATAAATCACAACTTTTTCTAAAGCCAAAGGTGCAAACAGGAGGCAGCTTCTAAGATAGTGACCTAGTCTCTCTTGTAAACAGGAAACTAAGCAGATATATATGGCCCAGCACCACCATCCTCTGGTTAGGCATCCTGTAGCTGTAGCCTATTTGCTTCTCTCAATTAGCAACTGGAAAAAAAATATATATATATATAGCAGCTGCCCCTTTTTTGGTGCTTAAAAGATTTGGTAGGAACTCACACAACTTCTCATGGAACAATACTAAATCCCCACACTGGAAAAATAATCACCTCTGAAAAAAAGTTACAGACACATGAACACAGTCCATAGTCCAAAACAAAGCAACCAACCTAAAGAGTACAAGTACCAGTCTCTGCAAAATTATTCCCTCAAAGAAAGTTTAGAAACTGTCCAGTTCTTATTTGTGCACATTTGAGAGATTATTGTATTACAGGGCTAAGGGAATTGCTTCTGAAAATGTGGCTGCTGCTTAATATATCATAGTTCTTCTCAGTGTCAGTCAATTCTAGAAGGCAGTGAGCCTT